GAACTTAGTTGTAGTGATTTGTTGTGTGTGTGTGTGTGTGTGTGTGTGTGTGTGTGTGTAAGATAGAGAGAGAGAAAGAGAATAGGAGTTAATGATAAACTAATAGCTAATCGCGAAGAATCAACAGCCTGTTGCGCCTTTTATGTGGTAGAACTTTTTTTTATGACCTGCATCCTCCTCCTATTCTTTCGCCTTATAATACACTCGTACGACGTATTATGTATATGTATATACAATATATATATATATCTGTGTACATCTTGAGATATGTGGAAAGTAAGTACAACTATGGAACTGATTGCGAAAGCTGCGCTCTACTCTCTAAACGAAGAACAATTTTCTTTTTTTTTTCTTTATCACAAACGCGCACCTCGTCACATACGAACATATCCGTCGGTGTTGCGAAGGGATAAACGTTTTACGATCTAAGGAAAAAGCGACAGAAGAAATTCTCATAGCGTTTCAAGCTAAAGAGAAACCATGACGACTATATGACGGGTCGTAGTCGTATGCACTAGACGTAGTTTGCCGAAATAAACGCGCGTTCTCGCGTGTGTGGGTGTATTCTTAGCGATAACGTGATCGTAGTAATTTCTTTTTTTAGTTAGTATATATATATATATATAGTAGTACGTAGTAGCAGTAGAGAATAATAGTGATGGTGATAGTAGTAATAGTTGTAATAGTAGTGATAGATATATAATTGGGGGAAAATGTCGGTGGTGGTGACAGAGAGATGTGATAGTGGTAGTTAGAATAATAGCGGTGACAATAGTAGCATTAGCCATAGTGTTACTTTGTTGTTGCTGTTGTAAAATTAATAGAGTATAGGGTGTCTACCAAACACCTTCGGTAGAGACCAGCATTGGTATAAATTTTTGATCGCCTCGTGACGTTGCTTTTTTTCTTTTTCTTCGTTTTGATATTCGTCAAAATATTAAACCAATAGTTTAAACATTGTAGACAATAATTACTATCTATATCACAGATTCAAGTGACTAAACTCCTTTAAAAATATAATATAAATATGTGTACGTGTGTTATAATGGCTTTTGCATGATGCACAAGGTGTCCAGTAATAATCGTATCACCTCTCGTAGGACAGATAAAGTTAAATTTAGCAGAAAAGCTCTGTGTCATATTGCGAACTTCGAAATAATTAATGAGATATTAATTTATGAAGATGCATAAATGTGATGCATGCGTGTGAATAGATGACCCAACTTTACCGATATTTATGATAGTCATCAGGAAGTGTGCGCTATAAACGGATACTCCATTATTTGTCCAAATTGTGGAGATTACATCTCCAAACCATCTTGCCGCTAGATTATCCCTTCACACGAATTCACGCTCATCTTTCGCATATCTTTATAAATTAATTATTGCACGGGAAAATCGCAAAACGGTAGAGGACTTTCCTATTTAGTACAACTCGCTTTATCTGTCCACGAGAAATGATACGATTATTATCGAATATCTTGCATATACACATACATACAATATATGTATATATGTATATGTATACTCGCGGACACGTGATTAAAACCAGGCGAAACAAGAGTGCGAAAATCGTGAAGACTCGTAGAAACGTTGCACGCTTTGGTTCCAGCTAGCATCGCGTACGGATAGCGATCGATTCATTAGAACGATCCACGCCGGCTCGATTTTATCGTCCGACAATTAAAAGCCGCGCCTCAAGCGGGTGCTATTCAATCCCATATTAAAAGATGCTTGTAAATATAAAATCCATTAGGTATAAACACGCAAGATATTAGCAATATTTTATCGAACGGTAATCACTTTGTGATTGATCGAGCTGAATCGATGTACTCCTTCTGGACCAAAACTGAAATCGTATTCCTAAACCGTGACGAGCGAGCATCCGTTGTTGCGAATCGGAAGTGGATGCTCGATAGGCACTTTGATCAATCGACGCGATTAAATAGCACCAGTTTCACTATATATTTTCACTATATATTTTCGCGTACGAGTCGATCGATGCTAGATGAAAACTCGCGTTTAACTATTACGCTGCATATATTCCGAATACGACATCGTGGGGCTTGTATTCGAGTACTGCGCATACAAATAGAGCGCGGGATGAAGCCCTGGCGGAGGGATGCCGCGGTGCAGCTGATGCGAATGGTGCTGCGACTCCGATGCTGGATCTAGAGGGGACAAGTGCGGATAGTGTTGGGAGTTGGGGCTTTCCAAGGGATCGGAGGAGCCCGTCGTTTGGTAGACACTCTGCGGTGTGCTCGTGTGCTCGGTGTGAGATATAGGTGAGTTAAGTGTGAACGGCGAAGACGCCGAGGTGGGACATACTACTTGCTGCGGTGATTGGTGTTGCGGCAGGGACTGGGTAGCACTGCTGCCGTCTAAACACTAGTTGGTGGTCTGCGGATGCAGCAGCGGTAGTGGAAGCTGTAGATTGTTCTGCTTGGCTAAACTGGCGATCTCCGCGGCAATGCCCGCGCCCTTAGCTCCCGCGAGGCCGTCCAACGACGACGGTCCCTCGCTGTAGCGCAGATCACAGACCGGACTCTCGAAGCCGGTGCCAGGCGTGCCGGCGCCGCTGCTCTGCGGCGTCGGCGGATTGTGATTCGAGCTGCTCTGATTCATGTCGCGATGTACCCGATTTTGATGCCTTATCAGATAACTGTCGCGTACGAATGTACGTCCGCAAATATTACACTCGTAAGTGGTACTGGCGGTATGTGTACGGATGTGAATCGCAAATTGACTTTTGGACGTGAACGTGAGAGAACATCGGTCGCAAACCAAAGGCTTCTCCGCTACGTGACTCCAACGATGCGCCGTGACGTAGCTCTTCACGGCGAAACGTTTATGACAAATGTCGCACGCATACGGCCGTTCGCCCGTGTGCACTCGTTTATGAGTGTTGAGACTGCTCTTTTGCGTAAACCTTTTCAGACACAGCTCACATTGAAAAGGTCGTTCGCCCGTGTGCGTCCTCATGTGCACTTCTAAATAAGGTTTGCGGCAAAAACTTGCCTCGCATACTGTACAATGGTACGGCTTATTCCCCGAATGAAGTTTCATATGCACATAATAGGACGAAGCGGAGGACAGCACCTTGCCGCAAACCTTGCAAGGTTGTGGCTTGGATCGCGTGCCCTCCTTAATGGTCTGTTGGCCTGTAGATTGACGACTCGGTGATTCCTGTTGCATGACCTGACTTTGCTGCTGTTGCTGCTGCTGCTGTTGTTGTTGTTGTTGTTGCGTCTGCTGTGTCTGTTGCTGATTCTGTGGCTGACCCTGTTGCTGACCCTGTTGCTGCTGACTCAACTGCAGTGTCTGCTGCTGCTGCTGAGGCTGCAGATGACCTTCTTGTTGAGAGAGATCCTCTCGATCATCAGACAAATTCACCATCGAGTTGGATCCGTCCGAACGACTGGAAGCGACTGAGTAAAATCCCATGGGCTCACTCTTGATCTGCTGATCGAACATGGACGTCATAATGTCAGCCTGCTGCGGTTGAGCCAGCTGCTGAGACTGCTCGTCTTGCTGCTGTCCTGCTTGCTGATGGGGGAGCAGAGTCAGGTTGCGCTTGACAAACTGCTCATATCCTGCGTACCAATCCACCTACAGGCGAGAACAAAGATGTAGAGTGGCGATGATACTCTGGGGGAATGGAGCGGCATCGTGCGCGCCATGAAGCGAAGATGATCGCAGGACGCATTATCGCCCACGTCAGGTTAGACCGGGGTCCGCTTTGACATTTATCTTTGACAAGTAACAGAGGGTAGCCAGACGATCAGCTGATTGCATAACTTTTAACCGCGAGGCGCATCGTGCACGGGGCGCGACGCGACCGCGATGGGATCGTTGGGGACGCCGTTAGGCGAGGGTGACGCGCGAGCCACTCTATTTTTAAAAGAGACAACCGATTGAGAAACGGGGAAATATAATCCCGAGACGGCGAGACTGGATTTTTCGCGAGTAGAGGGGGGGTTTTCGTGCCTGTTGTGTGCGCGTCTTCTCAGTGAAAACGATTAAACGTGCTCGTCACCGATACGAACCTTTGCTAATGTAGTGGTCCGGGTCTAGGGTCGAAAAACGTCGCGCCTCATCGAGCGCACCGCCTCCCTGCGTCGAGCGGCTTCACGGGCAATCGCGAAACATTTGTACGGCCAAATTGTTTTTCTCCGACACAAAATATAAGATGGCTGCTACTATATTTCGCGATGAGCCACCTACACGCGCGCACACGCACACGCGCGTACCGCCGTCAGCGAACTGGGCATCTGATTGGCCGCTCGCCTTAGGCCGCGCCTGCAGCCGTTGTTCCCGAATCATCCGCGATGATTGGCGATCCGCTGCGCAATGCGAATCGCAACTGCGAATTATCTTCATGCTCGAATATGCATTGACACATGATTCAAATTATGCATAAATAATAGAATAAATAATAAAATCAAAAGAACGTCAATTTTAATGTTTATATATATAAATTAACTTTATAAATATAAATTAACTTTAATTTCGATTTACTTTACTTATTATCTTCTTTAATTTTAAGAATTAAAAAAAAAGTTGAAAGTTAAAACTCTTGTTGATTCAATGCAGCTATCTTTAATTACGACATGGCAATACATGATAAGAATTTTTACAAAATATATTAAAATAGAAGTATTTAGATTTTGAATGAAATAACGTTTGCAATTAATAGAATATTTGTATATTTTTATTTTGTTTTGGTAATCAATGAATAATCATGTATCTAGAATTAAATAATTTGGTTAAATTAAATTCTGATTTGGGCTCTGTTTTTGGTTAAATATAATTCATTTCCATATAGTTATTTATTGATTAACGTTAATCAAAACAAAAGTTTCCAATATATTTTATAAATCTGTTCTATCGATCGCAAATATAATTTTATCAAAAAATATTTTTATTTCAACATATTTTATAAACATTTTCATCATGTGTTTTCGTACTTTAATATCATAATTCAAGATAGTTGCAATGAATCAGCAAAAACTTTAAAACGGAAATAAAAATTAATCTACAGTGGCAGAAATTAACTAACTCTCAGTTTAGCTTATTTTTATCTTTTTTTTTATTCTAAGAATTAAAAAAAAACAAAGATTAAAATAAATTGAGATTAAAATTAATTTACAGATAATAAGACGGATGTGAGTAAAGAACGTGCAAAGAACGCCAATATAATAAGTGTAGACGAACTGCTCCCGCGATGCAAGATTAACGTTAGCTGCAGCTATCAAGAAGTAAAAAAAGAGTTAATATCTGCAACACAATATCTTCCACAAGACAATCGTTTAAAGTGTTGATAGTTGACAGATAATGTTATCATAACAAAATAACTTGACGGCCTTCGATGCGATTAGACATTTGGTGATGCCAATGGCGTTTGTTCCATAAGGGAACGAAGCGTTCTTATTGGTTCTTGTGCTTGCCCAGAGATATGTATCTCGTAGCCACTCCGTGTGTACTCCGGACACGCGAGACGAAATAGATGATACGATGGGGCGTTAGTGGGAGAAGGAGAGGAGAGGCGTGAAGTGTGAGGCAGGTGCAGCTACGAGAGCTTTAGACCCTATGGGGGTCGCTAGACGGGTTGATGTCGTTTGGTGCGTCCGAGAGAACGACGGTGATTTGAAAAAGCGCTATATTTACACGGCGTTCACGAGGCGGAGCAAAAAAAGTTTGTGTTCTCACAACAGCGGCCTCACACACCGAGCCACTTTACAGCGAACCGAATTGAAACGGTAAATATTACATGTCAGCACAATTATAATTCGATACTCCGGCGAAACGGCCGCGTTAATTATCGTGGAACAAACGGCGATCGTGTCATTAGCGCGAGTGCGTGTGTGACGAAAAAAATTTTACGTTAGGAAGCAGGCCTCGCACACGACGACGGACACGATATATACATATCGTTATTATAATCCTTCGCTACACGCAATATTCACCTATTTGAGAGAGTAAGAGAGACAATATTGTTTTCAAGTCGATCGTATCGTTGTGTCGTTGTCGTAATTGGCTTAATCGAAGGAACTTGATTAACGTTCGTTGATGTATTTTAGACTAGAAAAAAATGGCTGTACCATCAGAGAATATCATGAATACGAATCTCGATGATCCTGTAACAAAGGCGGTAGTCGATAATATAATGGGCAATCTGCCCACAAAAAAGCCTCTCGTTCGCTGTGAAGATTGTGACCTTTCCTTCACAAGTCAGGCAGTGTTGGATACACACTTACAAGGCGCACGTCACGCTAAACAGGTCAATAATAGGATATTATCAGGATATTATATGGAGCATTCTGCTCGCCATGTATGTTATTTAATATGTCGCCTTACAGGTACGATCTAAGAATATCATGGCAACTCTCGAGGAAACAAAGATCTCATTTACCAAGGATGAAGAGACAAATGGACTGAAATGCAATGTATGTAACGTGTGCCTGAATTCTATTCAGCAGTTACAAACACATCTAAATGGTAATAAATGTGAAATATTATATGAAATGATATATTATAAATTTAGTATAAAGCTTACATAAATTAAGATAATATTGGAAAATGATACAAAACATATATTTGCAGGCAGCCGTCATAAAAAGAAATTAATGAGAGGTAATAATAAATCCTATATGGTAAGAAAAACACTGCCATATGGTCTTAAAACTAATCGCTTCATGTACCTGGATAAAATAGAGAAAAATACAGTTGTATTAGTTTATAGTTTAGTATTGTTCGCGTTCGCATGCTTGACGCTACTGCTTACTTTTGCTTTTCACTTCTTTCTCTGATTTAACTATGTGGAATTAACTTGCTTGCCATTCGCATAACTTTTATTGCTGTAGAATTTCAGTGCTAGTAAGCGCTTAGTGATAATTGCAAATTTGTTGTTATTCTGCGTTATTATTTATTATTATTTATTTAATATTTAATGATTATTGAAAAATAAGTAATATTATATTTGTTTGCTTATTAACATGTTATCGTGAAAAGCAGTTTGATCACGACTTGTTTGCATATGTTACATTTAATAAACTAAGTTTGTTTGACTGTACCTCTTAATTCCTTCTCATGTACAAATTTTACATATGTATTACTATTTTTTATTGAATATTGCTGTGTTGTAGAAATATTTTTTGTTATTTTTTTAATGACTGCTTTATATATACTATGAAAATCATTTCATGAAAAATAAAGAACAACAAATAATGCGAATTATTAAATTTCCACACAATGGCGTTAAATATATACACACACACACACACACACACATATATATGTTATCTATGTGTATATTTTTTTAATTTATATATAATTGAATTTTTTAAAATAATAAGGGCTGATTCCTTAAAACATTTAGTGAAAAGTTCAACGAATTTTAAAATTATCGTAGTCTCTATCAATAAACTTACTAAAAAATCTGTATCCAATGAATATATGATTTAGATATTAATAATCAATGATCAATCTTATATCTATATTGCTATAAAAAGTTTGTAAATTAATGGATCATTTTCGCATGAAAATACGCTTCATTTTTATATATTACAGAGATACTCTTAGTAATTATGTATTATTAATGTTATACGCACATTAATGATCAATCTTTTTATAGCATGAATGTAGTGTTCAAGCTGATTTATTATCACAAATTACCGCTTCTGCGGCTGTGATATATAGATAGTGTTGATCGCACATTGATGCTTAGGTGAATGGGATGGCAAAGAGGTTGTCACCCAAGGCCCCTCGTTGAAATCGACTGCTAGTGCGCAACAATCTGCTCTCGTAAAAAGGGATTTTCTTACCTGCGATACATGTAACAAGTTCTTCAACTCTCCGTCTCAATACAGTGTGGTACAATAACTTTATACATATTTGTGCACATCTATTTTTATATTCACAATATCATTTTTTTTACAATATTTTCATAGATTTTTTTGATATCTAAGTAAACTTTATATACTTTGTATCATAGAGATGTAGTTTGAGAATGTACCACAATGTATGATATATTTAAGATTTAATGTCGTCCATTTATGTATTTGCAGCATATGAATTCCGTGAAACATGCCGAGAAAGTGAAGAGATCGAAGGGTCCAAATAAAGGATTTGTCCCATATCCGTATCCGAAAAAAACAAAACGAAATATCAGGGAACAGATACCATCTTTGTCAAGCAACTTTGTATCGAGCGGTCTTATATATCAACCATAAGAGACATGATTTATGCATCTTGCTTTGAGTTACATATTAAAAATATTCTTTCGGATATTCTATCAACTAATAAATTATTATATAAATATATAACATAAATGTAAATATACATATTTACAGTATAAAGTTCTCAAAATTTCTCAAACTTTTTTTTAAAATCATCAGACATTTTAGTTTAAAAGAAAATAAAAAACAAGAATTTGGTTTAGTAGCAATATGTAAAAGCAATTACGGTTGATATGCAATTCGTCCTCTCAATATTATAAGATTGAACGATACGAAAGTTTGTAGAATTTATCATTGTAAGTTAAGTAATTATTAAATAAGAGTCATGAAATTATAATAATGTAATTACATTTATTATACATTATGTAGTGTATATTTACATTTCATTGATTCTGGAAAATTGTATATTGAATTTAATGAATTATGATATTTTGAGTTAGATATACTTTTGAGTTTTATTCTAAGTCGTTTCACAAACTGAGTGTGCATCATCTTCTGACAAACAGTCGCATTCAGGCTAAAAAAATACGATATATTAATCTCAAATATTTTTCATTACATAGTATTCAGTATACAATATATTTATGTTATTTTCTAGCATTACTTGGATTATGTATGTTTTCAATAAATGTCGTAATTCTGCATTTTGCCTTCGTAAAGATTCTACTTCAATATTTAAACGATGTCGTTCTTTTAATATTTCAAAATATTTTTTAAGTCCGATTAATAAACCATCCCAGAGTCGTTCTTTCTTTGCTGGGAAAATTTCAGTGTATCGTTTCCAAAAGTCTATTACATCTTGGGCTGCCATGTTTCGGGAAACAACCATCTTTTTTTCTGTTAATTTTTCTTGAAATGACTTCGACATCTCTTCACGTTTGACAAAATGATATCTTTCTACAAATTCCCGTAAAGTTTTAGTAACAAACGTAGCTTCAATTTCAAGTAAATGTCCTTTATCACATAACAAGCGTCGTTGCATTTGATCATCATCTGTATGAAACGAGTAAAATTAATTTTGTTATGTTATTAGTATAAAATTTTCTTTCATTAGTTTACAATTTTCGTCTGTTAAATTCTGTTAAAAGATAAAGTATGCGTACCCTTAATGATATCACTAATAGATGCGTAGGAAGTTGAAGTACATTCCGCGATAGGAAGTAATGTTTCAGTTAAAGAACTTGGTGATGAGACGCCCATGATGCTCACGTCATCACTAGGAGTAGACAACTTTTCCTCATCAATTGCTTCTTTCACGGCAGCAATCAATTTAGCTTCTTCTTCCGTAAACTTGTCTACAGGTTCGCAGATATCTGCCTGTTCGACGCTGTTATTTAATATTTCAAATATTACTTACATAAAGTTATAAAACGCAAATAATTTGATTATATAATTATTACACGCCGTTTGATTAAATATAACTTATTTACTCCATTTACTTACTCCGTTTTTAAAGAAGAAGATTCAACCAATTCGTCATCAGTGGACCTACTTATGTCCCTACTACACGTAGGACAATATGCATATGGCAAAAACAAATTCAAGAGAAAGCCAAGTTCCTCTTCGGACTTGATGTTTAATGCCTAATAATATGCGATAATATTATAACGAGATAAAATGAGATGTCTCTTGCGCATATTTACCTGAAATATATTATCCAATCGTATGACGAGCTGATCGTTCGCGGTATAAGGTAAAAGCAACTCGAGCAATCTATCTTCGATCAAATAATCGCAACGATTGGCGATGTGTTTTATGATATGATTCAGCATTCGTCTTTCTAAATTGATTTCCTCAATGATACTCGCCGGTTTGTAAGACTTACATATTGTTCTTTTCTCTTCGATCAATCTATTCTCTTTAAAAATATAATATACAAGTTAAAAAAATTCGATATGTGTTCGATTAAAATTATTCAATCAATTGTTACCCTCTTCTATAATAGACATCACACTACGATAAGACGGCAAATCTTTCTTTTTCAACAAGGTTTCTTCGGGTGGATTCCATTCTATGCCCAATACTTGTTCATATATGATCTTGTCGGCATTCAGAATCTGAAACGCAAAGGAATGATTTTTGCTGAAATATCTAAATAATTGAGCAAATAAAAATCTGAAAATAGTTTTGTTGAGCCATCAAACTACATGAGACTACGTTAAATTAAATGCTAAAATATTATAAATTTTCATTTCAAATTTGTATCTGATTTTTAGATATTTCAGATTATTCTTATCACGTATTTCGATACTGATATCTAACGTTTACCTTATCGAGCAACCCATTCGCATTTTTCACATTCATATCCCAAATTTGCATATACGTCTTATCGTTAAGTTTTGTAAAGTAATTTGACTTTTCCATCAAATCCAAAATGTTCTTATGCACCTTTATGACCTGGTCCGTGAGCTTCTGTATCTCAAATCTCGTGTTTTCTTCTAAGTCCGCATAATTCTTTTTCAAATCGTTGATAACATCTTGAAGTCTGAAAAAGACGATTTTAATTAATTCGCCGATTTTAAGAAATTCGCTGTGCTTGATCATACAAAACAATTTGTATGTGATACCGACTTATTAATTCTTCTCTTTTGCTGATTTTTCACTATGGCGTTTTCGTCTTCTCGTTTCTTAAGCACGGCGTAACTGTAGTCCAGTTTTTCGATGTTCATGAAACACACTGCTTTCGTGTTCTGCACCTCCTGTTGAAGCTTTTGAATCTCACGTTCGAAACTGATTTTCTGCGCCCGGAACTCTTCCTGATGCTCGATTATCGCTGTCTTCATCTCTTCCTCATACTCGCGCATTATCTCCTTCCGCCTGTCCACTCCGGCGAGACTTTCCTCTTGTAGCTTTTTATGCAGCGCTTCCCATTTCTCTCCAATATTTTCTAACAACATTTTACGCTCCGACTCTATTGCATCATTAATAAGCGACAATTCGCAACGATAAGCTTTCGTTATGATATTCATCTAAAAAAAAATATATACATATAAATTTAACGTACTAAATTGTGTGTGTTAGCTTTTATTATTCCTAAAAATATATATCCAACTTGATTGTCCATTCTGTTGATTAACAAATCTACGTCCTCGTTCTGTTTCTTTTGGTCCTCAACAAACTTGAGATCGGCATTCTCCAATTCTTCTCGCAGCTGCGCAATTACAGCATCTTTCCTCTCCATGATTTCCATACACTTGGCATTTTGAGCTTCCATTTCCGCGTGTATGTCTAACGGATCTTTAGATACGAGGATACTTGACCACTTCTCATTGATCTCTCGATATCTCCTCATGCATTCCTCTTCGTCTTCCTCGAGATTTTTTAGCAACATCCTCCTGATCTCCCGCGTCTCCTTCCGTCGCTGTAATTCCCTAGCATCATTCGCGATCTTCACGGAAGTCACCTGCGTGCAATATTAAGTTCGATTAGTTCGATTCTTTCTTTTTTACTAATACATTGAAAGAATTCGGCTTTGCTGAAGTATCTAACAATTTGATTAGATATGAAAATATTTTTAGTTATCAAAGTTATTATATAGAATGTTTAAGCGTAATATCGCAAAAATTTTTTATATTCCAACAAATTTGAACATCTTATATAATTATTTTGATGGTGCAACAAAATTAATGGACAATAATAAGAATAAACGCTATAAACGACGTGCAAATTATATGTTTAATCTTAACGTTTATTGATAAAAAGTATCAAATGTTTCGACTCGAATTTGAGCCATCTACAGTGGTACAAAAATATAAGGATATCTCTGAGTCCAATCGATGCGATCAACCATAAAAGCTAATGATAATATGTTACTTATGTCTGTTGACTAAATGAAATTATTAATTACTAAATAAATTTTTAATGTAAGATGGTACATTCAAATCGTTCATATAAAATAAAAAAGAACAAAGAACAGTTATAAAATAGTTGTTGTTCACCAAATGAACACGGTTCACAATATAAAGAAAAAAATACACAAGAGAGGAATATAAATCTCATCACATGAGCAATGAGCGTCTGCAAGTTCAAGACAATAACTGAACAATAAAAATTCTTTTCAGATGTGGCCAAGATAGATAGAAAAATAGTTTTTCCATGTAGAAATAATAATGAGACATGACAATGTACAATAAATATTGATAAAATATTGACTGATAATCGCTCAAATAATTATCAATAAAAGAAATAAAGCCTTTATTATACTAACCACTTCGTCACCTTCCAACGACAGGTTTTCCAAGAGTTCGGAACTAGCAAGTATTTGCTTTTCGATGAGCATCTTCTCGATAATCTCTTCATCTTCGGCATCTTTTTTTCTGTAAAAAGTAACTGCGACTAAAAGATTTCAATTTTTTAACTACAAAGGCGGCAAGAAACAAAATTGCATGATTACGCAATTGGATAATTATCATTTATTCGCAAGCCGATTATTTAATCTTTAAGGGATATCAAGGAATTGAAATATTCTTGAAATCGAAATTTGCGACTCTGTCCATATCATATCATTTGCGCAATTAACTGACCGTAAAGAAAATATTCTTACTTAGTCAACGCTTCTAGGCGTCGCTGAATACGAATACGCCGCGCTAATTTTCGCTCGTTCGGATCCGACGATATAACGGACGGCTCCTCCGTGTCTTCCACAAACTCAAAATATTTGTCATTCATCATTCGTGTTTTTTTGCTCGCTGTGAATTTTGCGTGAACACCCGAGACGCAAATAAAACGGACAAAATTCAAAGGGATTCCGATTTGCGACGGTGACGTTCGAAACGACAGCGGTTATTTGTACCAAAGAAACAAAATTTCCCAACGACAGCAAGATGACAGCAAAAGTTTCTTCTCTGCAATTCATACATTGTTTGCTGGGATACGTGCGTTTGTTTGCTCGATACTCGGTCGCCAAGTCGAGACGAAAATTATCTCTGCGTTTTATAAATAAAGCTTTATAATGACAGGGGAAAAAGAAAATAATTTGTTTCTTTTCTTTTGTGCAGTGTCTCATTGTTAGAAACAATTTGTCAGTAGAGGTGCCCTTCATAGCAGCTACGTAAATGTTTCTAAATAATAACGAATGACAGTAGCTGCTGTTGGTAACTGGCAACATTCTCGACAATCAATGTGCGGCACCGAAAGATGTTGCCACGCGTCAAATCTCGACGAGCTTTCGAGCTTTGTATTCTTTACATACAAAAATGATTATTTAAATTTGATACCCTCACCAATATCATGTAAAGATTCCCATCAGCTACATACATATTACAGACGTACAGATTTTTTTTTTTTTAGCAAAAGTGCAATAAACATTTCAGGAAAAGTCAAAGCAAAATATAGCCTGACCTAAAAATAATAAGAATGAAAACAGGATTCATATATTTGATTTAGAGTGGATTTGGAGTGGAATAGGAGGAGGAGGAGTAACGAACGTCGTTTATTTAATCCCTAAGAAAATATACTTTCAACTTGCCGAATAAACAATCGAGAATTGTCGACGTTAGGCGGCGCGCTGGAAAAAAGTCGTTGGAAAAGTCAGTCGAAAGCAAGACTCTCGAAAAACGTGATGAACGTGATGAACAAAGATCGACGAATGAATCGAGAGAGTTCATTGTCTCCGTCGAGTTTACGTAACGAGTCGGTCGGTGATTAGCGCAAAACTGAAGGGGACGCACGCGCGATGTATATGCATAAGATGTATATTTATCTATAAAGTCGCGATATTAAAGTTGAACGATCAGGACGCGCCGCTGTCGCGTCGTTTCGCTATCTCGACCGCGTAGCGCGAGAGAAACGAAAGCCGACGTTGATGCACTCGATTTATCTCGTGCATTACGCGCCCGTCGTGTCGTAACCCCTTCGAAGCGAGAGGGGCACGGGGGAGAGGGGAGGGGGGGGGTAAGCGTCTCAATGACGAGTGAAGAAATAGCTTTATTCAGCGCGATAAGTGTTATCATCAATCGTCTCGCACGAGGCCCAAGATAATCGCGTAGCGAAATCACTAAAAGCCGTGTTCGCACCCCCTCCGCCCCCCCCCCTCTCCTCCTCT